ATCAAACCCACATACATGCAGAAGGCTGCAATTAAGAGGCCAAGGATAGGGATGTTTCAAAAATATACTTAAAATAAGATGAAAGAAGAGTTCTGGACCTTTGAAAATGCCCCAGAAAGTGAATAAAAACAAGTCTTCTCTTTTATCAGAGCTCTGACTCAGACCTGTTGCTAGAAAGACCTAGCTGGGTTGAAATATACATTTAAAGAAATAACATATTTTTCCTTTTAAGTGGATCAAAGTATTACATGGGCAAATTTCTTTTAGGGATCCTAGAAGCAGTAGCATACATGTACAACATAAGTACATAGGTGGCTTACTGTGATGTTCACAGCCCAGAGGACTCTCAGAGGTACCTCACGTTTTTATCCCACAATTACTGGGTGCACCTGTAGTCCAGAGGAACTTGGGCAACTCGGAAGCTCTCAGGCTTAGCAAGGAGATGTCAAAACGAGGGCTGCAAAGCCACACTTCCTCTGGACAGCTTTCATTTTCCTAACAATGTACACTTCTTTTGTAGCACTCAGCAGACTGTAGTGAACTATTCATTTTGTGATTACTTGGACCCACAAAGTAATCTTCCCTCTTAAATTGTAAGCTCTGAGGATGTCATTGTGTTTATTTTGCTTTCCTCTCCATTTAGTCCAGGGCCTCATGTCTTGCACGTACTAAATAAATCTTCTTTGCCAATGTGAAAGTGGTAGTTCTTTGTCTTTCCAATTTTATCCCTGACATAAATTGAAACAGGTATGAGATTGCCATGGGAGGGAGGCTGTGGGGTCCAGAAGGTTCTAAGTAGGTGAAGTGCTGTGGCTGGCACAGAGGTGATGCAAACGAGCCAGCGGGGAAGAAGGGCAAAGATTTTCCTGCTAAGAAGACAGGCATGCCTGACAAGTACATAAACTCGAGTTTGCTGCCTGATTTTGTGATTCTTCGGCTTGAATGTTAAGTAGTTTTGTGTTTCATATTCCTTTCAGCCACTTTCATCCTCACTTTCTTAGTTCAAAGTCTCAGGAACAGGTCTGGGAATACACACCGGAGGAGGAGCTAACATCCTAGGCTCTAAGGGAATGTCTCATGGAGGGTAACTTTGCAGAGACCAGTCACATTGGGAATGAGCATTGTTATGCTGATAACCTTGGTTGAGTTTTTACAGTGTACAAGGCATTCAGATCATCTGATTCTCACAGACGTGTTGTGAATTAAGTGGTTCAGAATCATGTGTGCGTGTGCTCAGTCATGTCTGACTCTTTGCGACCCCGTGGACCGCAGCCCGCCAGGCTCCTCTGTCCATGGGATTTTTCAGGCAAGAATCCTGGAGTGGGTTCCTATTTCCTCCTCCAGGGGATCTTCCTAAGCCAGGGATCAAACCCGCGTTTCCTGCATCTCATGCATTGGCAGGTGGATTCTTTACCACTGAGCCACCAGGGAAGCTCTCAAAATCATGGCCCCCAGTTTACAGATGAGGAAAGGGAGGTTCAGGAGAGGGTGAATTATCCAAGTTATAGTGAAAGCAAGAGAAAATTAACATTTGTTTGAGAACTTACTCTGTCCTGAGGCACTAATCACTCTATATTTTTTTTACTTTTAATTGGAGGATAATTGCTTTACAAAGTTGTGTTGGCTTCTGCAGTACAACAATGTGATTCAGTCATAGGTATACATATGTACCCCCCCTCTTGAACTTCCCTCCCACCCCCACCCCATCCCACTCCTCTAGGTGGTCCCAGAGCTCCAGGTTGAGCTTACTGTTACACAGCGACTTCCCACTAGCTATCCGTTTTGCACATGGTAATGTGCAGGTTTCATTGCTACTCTCTCAAGTTATCCCATCCTCTCCTCTCCCCACCGTGTCCACAAGTCTGTTCTCTATGCCTGTGTCTCTATTCTTGCCCTGCAGATATGTTCGTCAGTACCATTTTTTTCAGAATCTGTATGTGTTAATATATAATATTTGTTTTTCTGTTTCTGTTTGCACTTTTGCCTTAGCTTACACTTTATCAGAGACCACAGTAATGTCATTGCATATGGCTGAGATGATATCAACAAATTTCAGAAAAAAATCTGTTACATTTACTAATATAAAAATTCATTGAATAGATTTACTAATTTTTTTTTTTAGAGATGCTCATTGCTTAATAACCACAAGGAACATCTACTGAATACACTGGGGAAAACTTGCGCCTTTCTTATACTCTGCAAAATATTAAGAAGCATAAAAACAATCTAAGTCCGTGAAAACATGTGACCATACTCTTTTTAGATGGTTCTGTCTTCAACGAGATGACAATGAACAACAGTGGCAGTACATTTTGTGTTTCTCTACAGATCCAGCTCTCTCTCTCTAGGTTCTCTTCCTAATTGAAAAGAGAACATGAAGACGCCGTCAATTGCAGCCGTTAAGAACAGTTACAACAAAAAGCGCCCTGCCTAGAGCTCTAGATAGGAAAGTGATCCAGCCAAGATTTGGGAGCTACGCACAGAGCTGTGACCCAAGCCAGACACCTGAGTCCTGGTCAGGGGGCTCTGAGCGGAGCCCAGCACAGAGGGTGTCATTTATGTGTCCTTTGAATATCACTACATTTCAAGGCCAGAAAGAACACTGGCTCTTAGCTGGCTTTTTGTGTTATCTGTGCCTCTTCCCCTCTCCTTGATGGATAACTGAGGTTTTAATATACAGCAGTGACATTCTAGTCGATGTAGGAAAGGGGCAGTCCCTGAGGGCAATCTGAACTTCTGCTTAGTATATTTACTCTTGCTGTTTTCCTTCCTCCTCATTTGTAATTCAGGAGGCTCTCTGAGAAGGGAGAGACAGCAAGGCCTCTTAGATGGATCGAAGGACTGTGAGCTGGGATACCAGGTTCTATGAAAAGGTCTGCTATTGAATTTGTTCTGCTACCTTTAGGCAAATCATTTGATCATGCTGTGCTTTGGTTTTGTCCTGTGCTTGCTAAGTATAAACAACATGTAGTTGAATATTCTGTGATTATTGTATTTAATATTTAAATACAATCATTTAAATAAGTATTTAAATGTGAGACTGATTTATTTTTCCAGGCCACCTGCTGAGGTCTGAAGTGAAAATCTGCTTCTTTGAGATGCTGGGCTTCGTGGCAGCAGAAACCCTTCAGACAACAGCAGCCATCGAGTTGCTGCTTCTCAGCTCATCAGGCTTACTCTATAGTTGAGGGGCTTATCTTGTGGTGTCCTTTGTTTGCAGAAATGAAATATGTCATTAATTACCTTCATGCTGCTTTTACAGCCCCCTGCCCAACCCCCCTCACCCCCTCTAAAAAGATGAAGGCTTTCTTTGGCACAGAGTTGCTTTACCTGTGACACTGATCCCAAGAGACCGTGGAGAGAGATGACATGGCAGACTGAATTATCTGAGCTTGCTACTCTAGTTCCTTTTTGATGGTTTGGGTCAGGACCACTAAAGGTTTGAACTAGATTTAAAGGTGCAGGCTCTTTGGGATTTTGGCAGGAAGCAGTTAGGGAGTACGCTGGAAAGAGAACACAAACTACCCTCGCCCTCTCTGCCTTTTTGGTTTGTTTGTTATAGCCTGTGTTACATTAGGCAACAAGACGTCCCTGTTAGTGAAAGGTGCCAAGCTGAGGTTCTTAGAAGCTAATAAAAATGCTTGTGGATAAGGAAGGGTTTTGTTCCTCACCACTGACACTTTAACAATCTCTGAAGTGCACGAACGGAGTTAACAGACAGATTTCTTTTGTTCTGAATTAAAATAAGATGTATTACATGATGTCTAGTGCATTTAAGTTAGAAGCATTTTCTAAACAAACCTAGCAAGGTGTTAAAGGGATAGGACCCAGAAAGGTTTGACTCATTACTTGTAGCTTTGGTGGCAGCAGGAAGAGCTTCAGACACAGGAACACTGTGTAACCTTTCAGTTTTGAAATGTTACTAGGTCTTCCTGTGCTATAAATGATCAAAGACACATCCGGGTAAATATTGCTCGCAAATCTTCGTTGGCTTGAAGAGTACGGAATCCAACTTCCGTTTGTTAATTCAAGGAAACATGCACGCAGGGACTCGAATTTGGGGTCTTCATTCTTGGACAGGGTCATCAATACACCAGAACATAACTTGTAGGTGCCCCAATTGCAGAAGCTTCCAACAGAGGCAGGGTTCTCGCCGATGCCTCTTAGGAACAGGTAGCCAGCAACCTGCCAGGCTTGGGCGGGTAGGTGGGGAGGGGATGACGGTAACATTTTGCAGTTAGATTTACGTCTACTTTGCAGCTCCCGCGAAGCAGGATGTAGGTCCTTGGGGTGGAGGTCTGGCTGGTCGGCTCTAAATGTGAATAGGCAGCCACGTAGCTTGGCAATTATGTTAAAACTGGCAATCTCTGTCTCTGGCAAGGACTTCCTCCGAAAGAATGTACGAAGGGGATGAGGGTCACCCCGGGGTCAATCTGCACAACCCGGAGAAAAGTCCCGCCCGGGGTGGATGAGGGGCCCAGAGGCAAAGACTAAGGCGACGAGAGACCAGAAGAACCGCGGACACTACCTTGGAGGGACGGGGAGGCTTCAGTTACCGCCTTCGGAACGATTATCCCTGGCCTAGAAGTATTTATATTAAAATCACTTCCGCCATTGTAAGGAGCCGCAACCAGACTGGAGGCGGGGACGCGCGCCAGGCGGATGCGCGCTCCCTTTGTCCCGCCTCCCGGCCCGCGGGCTCTTTGAGCCGAGGGAACGCGCTTCGGAGAGAACGCGCCGTAGGCGTTGCGTTTGTGCTCCGGGTGGAAACTGCCTTCCGCGGCGGCGGCGTTCCGGGAGAGGAGAGGACCGGGTAGGCGGGAAGGTTGAGCGCCGCCCGCTCCTCCCCACCCCCTGCCTCGGCCCTGAAGGGGCTGGATGGGCGGCGAGTCGGGCGCGATGGCTCGAGCCTGGGCGGCGGCGGCGGCAGCGGCTGGAGGCGGCGGCGCGTCCTCCTCCTCGCCCCGGCGGTGATCGGAGCGAGCGGCCGCAGGCCCCCGATGAGACTGCTCGCGGGCTGGCTGTGCCTGAGCCTGGCGTCCGTGTGGCTGGCGCGGAGAATGTGGACCCTGCGGAGCCCGCTCACCCGCTCCCTGTACGTGAACATGACGAGCGGCCCGGGCGGGCCGGCGGCGGCCGCGGGCGGCAGGAAGGAGAACCATCAGGTACGGGGCCGAACCCGAACCCGGGCCCGGCGGGGCAGGGGCGGGGCGGCCAGCCTTCCCGCGCTCGGCCCGGCTATTGTGCGGGGCGTTGCGGCGTGAGGCACCCGCCGGGCCTCGCCCCGCCGCTCCGGCCCCTCGCAAAGTTTCCCCCCCACCCCGTCTTCTGGGCCGGGCGCCCGGTCCGCGCCCCGCAGCTCCTTTTGTTCGGCGGCTCAGGAGGAGGACGACCTCCGGTTTTCCTCCCGGGCCCCTGCGCGAGCGCCCCGGAGACCCGCATTGTTCCCGGGTCCCGGCGGGTGATTGCAGACGCTTGGCCACTTTGGCGTCCGCTCCCGGCGGCCGGCCGGAGGAACTTTCGGGCCGGTGCGTGGCGACCCATCTGGGACCCATCTGGCACCGAGGCCTGAGAACTGAATGACCCGACCAAACCCATTACCCCCGACAGCTTCTATCAGCCCAGAGTATCACGCCGAAAAGCCGGTCTCTCTTTTTGTCTGGTTGAATCTCTGAACGTACAAAGGTTCCATAAAGAAATTTAACCGTGCAGCGTGAGCCATTTAACTCTCTGGGCTCGTTCGGGTGACATTTTCCCCAAGCACTTAAAAATGTGTTTGATAAGTGGCCACTCCTCTCCTGTCGAACCTTCCCCCTCTTAAGAGAGATTATCTCCTTCAAACTTTGATTCTGGTCTCTGACCGGAGAGATGTGGTAGCAAGAAAGGTGATGAAAGCTTTCACTGGAAGGGTTGTTAGAATTGGGCAGGAGCGAATGCTTTAAGAGAGTTGTAGTTGTGCACCGTGGACGATGGCGATGTGGCTGGCTGGATAGTCTTCATCATCTTAGTTTTGTGGCACTTAAGTATGTGCACTTGCAGAATTAAGAGTGAGGTCTTTCGTGTTTGATTATAATGTAGTTTGCGGCTAACATGACATTGAGAAGAAAGCCTCTTGGTTTTTGAACTCTGCCGGAGTACTGGTTTATAATAGCTAGCAGTTATAGTACATTTTGCTTTCCCAGAGAGCGGTAGCTAATTACTCCCCATCTTGTGGCTCATCATTTTCATAGTTTTCTCATTTTCATATATTACTTTTCTTATGATGCCAGGTGTTTACCCTGAAGTTGATTTCATGTGTTCTAATGAAACTAAAGGAATTATCTAAGTAGATAAAACCATTCAGAGAAGTAGTATTTAGTTTTTATTTAGAAAATATTTGTAGTGGGCTTTTTCTATTTTTAAAGGAAATTATAAATGTCCATAAAATTTCTTTGTAATCCCACAGCTATTGTACTAACACTTTGTTAATCACTCCTATGATATTGTTAGGGGTGTAGGTAAACTTAGTAGGTGACCTTAACCTGTAAAACCACATTCTCTGCAATGGATTAGTCATTTTTAGAGTTATACCGTAGTGATAATGTTCAGTTACTAAGATATATATCTCGAAGTAACATGGATAATGATGTAAAACAGTGAATAGAAATGTCATCTTTAATAGCTGGTAGAAATAAAGTTCTGGGTAGGATAAAAAGGAGGCTTATTTCCATTGACATGGAATTATAGTAGAGTCTGTTGACTGTAGATGTTTATTATAACACTTGAGATTACTGCTACTTCAGTATACTTGATGTTTTCCGTGCTCATAAAAGAAATGGACATATTATAAAAACTGAAAAACTGTTTAAGTCTCTTGATTTTTATGGGGCCTAGGTAGATTATAGTTGCAGACACAGCCTCAGACGATGTCCTAACAATACATCTCAGAATGTCTCCTAATTGTATACTTTTTAAAAGTTGGATCTGTCAAGTTCTAAGGAAAATTAATACTGGTTTCCAGTACCTCCTTTGCTTCATTATGTTTCTAAGACACTCAAGTATGTGTAATAAGTGTGTATTTTAACCAGTTGCACATAACAATTTGGGCAGCTAGTTTCTCCAAATGAAGACTGATCTGGAGCTTTTTGACTGTTGAGTGGAAGGGGGAAGGGAAGATTGGCTCTTTTTCTTAGAACTGTCACTCAAGACATTATTTTGAGTTGATGCATTCACATTATGAAAATATTGTCCATGAGCAAAAGATTAAAGTGAACAAAAGAGATGTTTATGGAAACCACAGTGAAATAAATGAAGTAGGAGACTGTTCTCTCTGCCCTGGCTGAGTTGATTATTTGTTATCTGCTTTGTATTCCAGGATCCTTATAAACTTTGTTGCTTGTGAAGTAACTTAACTCTAAATGCTTTCCCTCCCTTCAAGTTAATAGTTCATGCTAGGTCTTCTGGTGTTCATTTGGGTATGTGGCTTCCATAGCCAGCCATCTGGTTCTTTTGCAGTTGCATGGAAGTAGGGTTATGGATTTGATTGAACTATACTTACAAGTTTTCCTTATGTTTGATTAAAAAATTATGGTGGTTGGATTCTGTGTTTAAAAGAGAGATCTTAGGCAATGTTTGTTCATTAAAAATAGCTATTTAGTTACTGAATCCTGGAGAGGCAAGGCTCCTTTGGGCTAAAGCAGCTCTAAACCAGTCACAGCGCCATTTTAATACCTTGGTTTGGTGTGCTAGTTTCACAGCTGGGATTTGTGTTTCATTTTGGGAAAGTGAGAAGGAAGGGAAGGGGTTTCTCAGCACAGATGGATATGGCTTGCCGGCCAAATAGGCACCACCGACTTTTTTGTATAGACTGTAAAGTGAGGGAAAAAAATTTTTAAGATGTTTGCTTCAGAGAAAATTTCCAGTTTTCTTAATCAGCAGCACATTCTTCATCACAGATTGAAAGCTGGGTAGTTTGACTTATTGGGAAGAAATTGAGGCAGGTAGTGAGAAACTAGATATATGACTTTTCGATATTGGCTGACCCGGAACTTACAAAGAAAGTAGTAACGACAATAACTTTGAATCTAGTCTTTTTGAGGCATTGCACCTGCTAGTTAATGCAACTGTTAAAGAGCTATTGAAACTTGAAAGAACTCTTAGGCCACACTAACTAGGTTCTTGATAATAAGAGTCATTCAACAGCTTCTCAATTGATGGAGTGACAAAAGAATTGTTATAGAACTCCTTGGAACCAGGCCAGGACTGTTTCTCCAGTTGATATACTGCCAGGTTTTTTAAGAGCACAGATAACATTATCTGGAATTAATAAGGTAACTTGGGGAGGGAGATGGGAGGGAGTTTCAAAAGGGAGGGGATATATGTATACCTATGGCTGATTCATGTTGAGGTTTGACAGAAAACAGCAAAATTGTGTAAAGCAGTTCTCCTTCAATAAAAAATAATTTAATAAATATGGTAACTTAAAATTGCAAATATGTATATATCTGAGTTTTTCTTTTCATCTTCTTATGTAAACTCAGAAATGTGCTCTGCCATAAGCAATGATGGATTTAAGATAGAATTGAAACAATTTGGATTTTCTTTCAGATGAAAAAATATCAGTACTTGGACATCACAGCCAGAGGTAAAGGTTGTGCTAAAGTACAGGTTCCTTCTCCTGCTCCTCACTTCCCAGTTACCTTGTGGAGGTGGACCAAAGTTAGGCATGAGTTAACAGTGCCCAGAGGGGTCAGCCAGCTAGCCAGACAGATGCTGATAGATTTGTGTCCTCTGAATTACCTTTGAAAGTCTAGAGTCCTTTGCAGCGGAATACCAAAGAGATTTTGAAGAGTTTTCTTTCCTTCCTTATAACCTGTGTTGAAACCCTGAACAAGTGTTAGCTTCAGTTTTGCAGAGTACAAGGGAGGTCTCTTCTTTGGGGCATACCAGAGGCCTTTATGTTCCCCTGTGAAGGTGCCCTTGGGACCCTGATACTTCCTGTAAAAGACTGTTTCAGATCCTCTGAAGCTTTGTTCAAGTCTTGGGATTATGAAATACTAACAGCTAGTGATATTTGAAATGAAGATTGCCAGTAATTTGTTTATTAAATCAAAATCGAAGTGATTTAATCTAATCTTTCCCTTCATGGAAGTGAGGGTGTCCTGTTACTCTGCACTTTCAAGGCTCCTATAAAGAGGTTGTTGGTTTAGGTTTGTGTCATTTGTAGAGAAAGAATGATTTGAATATTTACATCTGTGCTGTGCATATATACAAGGTGTGTGTGTGGTAGTTGCTAAGTTGTGTTTGATTCTTTGCCACTCCATGGATTGTAGCCCGCCAGGCTGCTCTGTCCATGCATTTCTCCAGGCAAGAATACTGGAGTGGGTTGCCATTCCCTTCTCCTGGGGATCTTCCTGACCTTGGGATCAAATCCAGGTCTCCTGCATTGCAGGTGGTTGCTTTACCGTCTGAACTACTAGGGAAGCCCTTATACAGGGTATCAGTGTATCTGATATACAAGGCATCAGTGATTAAATGCCTGGACTGATATGATTGCATTGTAGAACTTTTAGAACTTGTAGAACTTTTAGATTTTTGAATCCTTACTGTCAAGGTCAGTGTCCTCAGATTGGTCTCACCACCCACTGTAGTAGCCAAGATTCTCCTGTACTCTGTTAGCGGGGCCTCTGTGGTTGCCTTTAGTGATATTGAGTATCTCATATCTTTGGTTGCTCACTTCTTTTGAGAATGGCAGAGTGCCCAGACCCACAGTGTGGTTTTGGGCATTCCCTTGAACCTCAGTTCTCTGACTGGCTTTTGTGAACCTTGACCAGGAAGGGAAAGAAAATCAAGTTATTGTGCTTCTATTAAGTGTCAGGCACTGTGTGTATATATTATCTTCTCTAATTCTTAAAACAATTCTTGGAGGTAGGTGGTACATCCCCATTTTACAAAACATGCTTAAGAGCGCAGTTAGTAGATAGCAGAGTTGGAATTTTGAGTCCTGCTCTGTCTGGTTTCAAGGCCCAGGCTTTCACCGCTGTTTCATGGCATCCCTCTTAGGAAGCCTTGTTGCCTGAGGCGCTGTGAAAGTAGGTTGCCTTCTCAATAGCAAGCTCTACCCACTCTAGTGGAGCTCTGTGTAGACACTGAAATTATGTAACAATACAAGTTGTTTTTGCAGTTT